CTCTTTTATCTTAATGACTTCTTTTTCTTTTGCTTCTTTTTCTTTCCCCATCTTTCCTCACTTTTCTTCCCCCTTTTCCCTTCATTGTCCTCTTATTTACTTTTGCATTTTGTATTTTACAATACTTTATAACTTAATATAATGTGATTGCAAGGAAGGATGTAAGGCTGTGTCAACCTTGAATCTGGTGAGATTTGAACTGCCAAATTGCAGGCTGGCAGCAGGCAGCGGAAACAACCTGCAGTACTGCACTCTAACCACTGCGCCACTGTGGCTCTTGAAGATGTTCTAAGCTTTGGCGTATATCTTTGTTGGCATGCTTATTAGGTCATATATTTGGTTATGGATGAATTATAAGCAATGTCTCCTTCAAGACAGTCTGTACTCCCAAGATCAGATGTTGTTGTTAGTTGCAAAGTCGTGTCCGACCCATTGTGACCCCATGGACAACGTTCCTCCAGGCCTTCCTGTCCTCCACTATCCTCTGGAGTCCATTGAAGCTCACGCCGACTGCTTCAGTGACTCCATCCAGCCACCTCGTTCTCTGCCATCCCCTTCTTCTTTTGCCCTCAATCTTTCCCACCATTAGGCTCTTCTCCAGTGAGTCCTCCCTTCTCATTAGGTGGCCAAAGTATTTGAGTTTCATCTTCAGGATCCTCAATAAGGAACAGTCCCAGCCCTTTGATTTGTTTAGTAGTTGGTGGAGGCAAACAAATTAATTGTTGACCCTGAAGCTGACCTAACTGCGGCCATTTTCTTTTCTGTAGCTTTCCTCTAAGGAGGTCTTTTTTCCCGCATTGCTTCAGGGCTGACAGAGCCTGGAGCTAAGAGGCCGGGAGGGTGTGTGTGTCGAGATTGCTTGGGTGTTGTAGCCAAAATAAAATTATTTTCCCTGGGAATCAAGTACGTTCATGCAGGTGTTCGAAAGGTGGAGACTGAGATCACCTAACAACTGGACTATATGCTGATGGGACCATGTGACTGGAGACTCTGGGGGGAAGTGACAAAGGTTTACTTTTTATTGTATGTAATTATGAGCCGAGGTGGCGCAGTGGTTAGGGTGCAGTACTGCAGCTACTTCAGCTGACTGCTAGTTTAGCAGATCAGCAGATCAAATCTCACCAGCTCAAGGTTGACTCAGCCTTCCATCCTTCCAAGGTGGGTAAAATGAGGACCCAGTTTTTTGGGGGCAATATGCTATTTAGTATACTGTCTTTGGTGTAAGCCGCCCAGAGTCCTCGATAGTGGGCGGCATAGAAATATGAATAATAAAATTAAAATAAAATAAATAAAGTATGTAAAACCGGCAGGAACTTAGAGACGGTTTTCCACCAGCTGTGCCATTTTGATATGTCCCAATAAAATGTTCTTTGAGGAATATGCCTGCCTCAGAATTCCCATTGTTGGGGATTTATTACTTGGAACCTTGACATAAATATTCCTGGAAGGGATTTTCAAGAATTGGCTAAGCCAGCAGTCCGCAACATTTCTGGGTTTGCAGACCAGAGGCTGTAGCAGAGGCAGGTGACGGGTAGAGGGGATAATTTGTGCAAGTATCAGGTGAACCTGCTCCCCCATGCAGCTCAATTTGTGCGTGAGTGCCCACTTCTGCTGCTCACACAGCGGAGTGTGGAGTGGAGCTGCGCATGCTCGCCGGACAGTTCTGAATGGACCGTGTTCTGAATGGACCGTGGCCCCGTACCAGGCCATGGCCTGTGGGTTGGGGACCCCCTGGGCTAAGCTATCCAGAAGATCAGAAAAATATGAAAAGGACCATTTGTAATGGGTCCTGAAGTCAATAAAAGCTAGTCGTTGACATCACATTGGTAATATTGTAACTCATATTTTTTTTATTTAAAAGACAACAACTGGATTGCAACCTTCTCTCAAATAGAGCCTTGGTAGTACAGGGGTTTAAGGCACCCTGTTATTAAGTTTATTAAGACCAGCTGCCTGCAATTACTGCAGGGTTCGAATCTCGCCAAGGCTCAAGGTTGACTCAGCCTTCCATCCTTTCTAAGGTAGGTGAAATGAGGACCCAGTTTGTGGGGGCAATAAGATGACTCTGTATAAATATACAAAAGGATGAAGGCTATTGCTGAGCACATTGTAAGCCGCCCTGAGTCTTCGGAGAAGGGCGGCATATAAATCAAATTAAAAAAAAAAATGCAAGTGGTTTGTATGTCACTTAAATACATGCATTGATAAATGGGCTGGATTAAAAAGAGCAGTTTTGTGTCCCAATTCAGCCTTGTGTGTCAAAGATGTACTGTATAAGAATGTTTTAAAAACCATTTCATTTCTCGTACAATAAATCATCGTGTGAACCAAATCTCAAGTCAAGACCTTAAGATTCCTATCAGCTTTTGATATGATCATCTCTTTAAGCACTGCCTTTGCATCTTGTGTGTTGATAATACTTTGAGTTGCAAAAGTCAGAGGTGCATATGACGCAAGTTCTTTTTTTCTTTCTTTCTGAGAAAGTCTGCAGGTTCCTCCAGCTCAATTCCCCTTTCTCTGAAGAAGGAACTAACTGCATCAAGTGCAGGCCAACGGGGGTCATTGAGAAAGATCTCATCCTTAGATTCTGAAAGGGACCTACTGGACTCATCTGGAGATTCTTCCCATCGTCATCAGGTATGCTAGTTGTAAAGATAAGACTTTCTGTTCTGGTCATTGTTATTTGCAGAGTACTCCTTTTTGGGTTCAGGATGACACTTGGGGCCTGGAGACTAAAACATATGAAGGATTTGGGTTTGGCTAGTTTAGAGAAAAGAGGGACATGTTGGGGGGGGGGATGGACATCATAGCAGTATTCCATATTTGAGGGGCTACCACAAAGAAGAGGGAGTCAACTTATTTTCCAAAGCACCAGAAGGCAGTATAAGAAACAACGAATGGAAAATAATCAAGGAGAGAAGCAACCTGGAATTGAGGAGAAACTTCCTAACAATGAGGACAATTAACCAGTGGAACAGCTTGCCTCCAGAAGTGGGTGCTTCACCACTGGAGATTTTAAAGAAGAGACTGGACAGCCACTTGTCTGAACTGGTATAAGGTCTCCTGCTTGGGCATGGGGCTGGACTAGAAGACCACCCAGGTCCCTTCCAGCTCTATTCTGATTCTGACCATCAGGAGGAGATCAGCAAATCCTGCAGATGGTGCAAAACCATCTCTCTTTTCTGACTCCAATAGTGTTAGGTTTCATAGTTTGGGTTTCTTGGTTGGACTGCTTCCCTGGTACTAAATTGCTGATCAATGACAAGACATCCATCTTTGCAGAATAATTGAAAACTCATCAAATAGGTCAAACTCTTTAAATATATTTTCAAGACCCATTGCTTCCAGAAGCCACCAGGTTTTGTTCTCCATCTATAAACTGTTAGTTGCTAACTTTTTTGCTCAATTTTTAAAATTATTTTTGAAGGAAGGAAGGAAGGAAGGAAGGAAGGAAGGAAGGAAGGAAGGAAGGAAGGAAGGAAGGACAATAACAATAGCACTTAGATTTATATACCGCTTCACAGTGTTTTATAGCCTTCTCTAAGCGGTTTACAGAGTCAGTATATTGCCCCCAATAATCTGGATGCTCATTTGTACCCACCTCGGAAGGATGGAATGCGGAATCAATTCAATAGCCAGATAAACACCCTGTTAAATTGTCACAAACAGTGTGAAATTCCACATTGGTAGAAATATTTAACAGGGCAGAATTTATTTAATTACATTTTTCTTCTCCTGCATTGTTCCCCTGTGGCCAAATATAAATCAATTAGAATACTATTACATTTTCTGTTGTTTAAAGGTGCTCCCAATGGGAATGTTTTAGATGGGCAAGAATTATGATCAACAACTTTGTACACCAAATTTTAATTACACTTTAAAATAAAATTGGAAAGATCCATACCGTTTTGTATGCTATCAATGACCATCATATGACCATTCTGTTTTCTCTTCACTTTTAATATTATACAGTTTATTTGTTTTATTTATTTTATTAGTCATATTTCTATGCCACCCACTCTCCGAGGACTCTGGGCGGCTTACAACAATCGACAGTATACTAAATAGCATATTGCCCCCAGCAATCTGGGTTCTCATTTTACCCACCTCGGAAGGATGGAAGGCTGAGTCAACCTTGAGCCGGTGAGATTTGATCTGCTGATCTGCTGAACTAGCAGTCAGCTGAAGTAGCTGCAGTACTGCACTCTAACCACTGCCCCACCTCGGCTCTTAAGTTCTTGTGAAGAACCAGAGGAAACCAAACTCCCCACAAACCGGAAAACGATTTCATTGATTATTTGTCATAAAACAATCAAACAAACCATCCTCCGTGAGTCATTTCTGCTTTGCTTCTACTGAGAGGCATTGCGGTGAAACAAAATACGTGTCAGATGATAAACTTCCCCATGTGGCAGAAAACTGATGGGAAAGAATAATAATCTACTGTTGTCATCACTTTGGCCTTCTTGAGCAAGAAGTAATGCAGGAGCACACAAAAGCATAGCCCAGGTGACTTCTACTGCAGGTTTTCTGTGAAATCTTCTCACATCCTCCACCTTGGAAAAATCAAAAGAGATGCAAATGACATTAGGTCTCTGTTGTCTAAAATTAGGGTGAATGGTTTGCTCTTTAGCTGTCTGGCTTCATCATTAACTCTAAGAAAGAAAGAAAGAAAGAAAGAAAGAAAGAAAGAAAGAAAGAAAGAAAGAAAAAGAAAGAAAGAAAGAAAAAAAGAAAGAAAGAGAAAGAAAGAGAAAGGAAGGAAGGATAAAAGAAAGGAAGGATAAAAGAAAGAAAGAAGGAAGAAAGAAAGAAAGGAAGGAAGGAAGAAAGAAAGAAAGAAAGAAAGAAAGAAAGAAAGAAAGAAAGAAAGAAAATCAAAATATATTTCATTTCCAAATAAGGTGACAGCCAAGACAACAAACATCTTTTATAGAATAATTGATACTAAAATGGGAAATTTTTTATTCAATAATACTGAACACAATATCATTAATGCCATGCACACAAAGAACAGCACTTCTGAGCCTGACTATCTGCAAAAAACCATCTATTCTGTAATAATTTTAATCTGTATTCCAGGGATTGTTGGAAATGGAATTGTCATCCAACTTTTGCATTTCCAGATTAAGAGGACTCCTTTCACTGTCTATATCCTCAATTTGGCTGTGGCGGACACTGGGACTCTCCTGTTCGTGTTTATCTCCGCAATTCGGCACTTAACTACTGAAGATTCCCTCATAGAAATTATAGAAGGTTTACTATGCACTTACTGCATAGTAAGTGGTCAATTTCTTTTGACAATCATCAGCATTGACCGGTGTTTGGCTGTCTTCTTCCCTATTTGGCATCGATGCCATCAGCCACTACACTTGCCTACCATACTCTGTGCCTTTTCATGGATAGTTTCTGTTCTTTTCTGTGCAATTCATTACACTCTGATTTGGGTTATAGATCTTCAAAAGTTCCTCCAATATTTCCTTATTCTCATATTTATCTCAGTTTGCATCCCAGTCATGGTGGCTTCCAGCCTAGCCCTCTTCATCAAAGGCTACCTTAAATCACAAATGAAGAAGCGAGGAAAACTTCTCAAGGCCATCCTGCTTGCCCTGTTTTTCTTCCTCATCTTTTCTATTCCACCAAGTGCCATTTATCTCAATGATATTATTTCCAAGAGGAGATATTTCAATTTCATTCCATATGGTTACTTATGTGCCTGTCTAAACATCAGTGCTAACCCACTCATCTATTTCCTCTTGGGGAGAAGGAAGGAACACCATTGCAGATACAACCTGAAAATTAGCCTCCAGAGAGTTTTCAAGGAGGAAGAAGAGAGCAAAGAGCCATCAGACATCCATGCTGAGGTGTAGTTATGATATTTTCACAAGAGTGAAAAACTTCTGTCTTTCTATAGCTCCCTGTTAGGACGTAATGCTTCATTCAGACAAAGCTTCTCTTGGAAATCTAGGATTACTAGATAATTTCATGTCAAGGAAGTTAGGAAATTAATCTCTCACTTTTCTAAGCAACAACAGATCCTGGTTGAGATGATTTTGTGAAATAACACATGAGATAAAGGTGTAAAACTTTACTTGTTTATTAGCTTGGAGCTGCTGAATGAACGGTTTTCCTTATCTTCACATTTCTATATTTGCTCTGTTCATTAGCAAGAGCAAATCAAAATATCCCAAACATTGATTAAAATGCTTTGATATTCCTTGCTATTTTCATCTCGTTATCCAGCAAGGATTTTTTTATCAGTGACAGCAAGTTAAGATGAGTCAGTTAAGATGAGAGTCAGCATAAATATCAACCAACAAATGCTCTGTCTTGCACATTGGCAAAAAAAATCAAAACATAAAATACAAATTAGATGGACATGACCAAGTAGATGAGCCTCACTCTGTCAAGGACCTTGGAGTACTCATTTCTAATGATCTAAGTGCCCAAGCCCACTGTAACAACATTGCCAAAAAGGCATTAAGAGTTGTAAACCTAATCTTGCGTAGCTTCTTCTCTGCTAATGTTGTACTACTAACTAGAGCATACAAAACATTTGCTAGACCAATTCTTGAATACAGCTCTTCTGTCTGGAACCTGTACTGCATATCGGACATAAATACAATCGAGAGAGTCCAGAGATATTTTACGAGAAGAGTCCTCCATTCCTCTAACCGCAATAAAATACCTTATGCCACCAGACTTCAAATTTTGGGCTTAGACAACTTAGAACTACGCTGACTTCGGTCTGACCTAAGCATAGTACATAAAATTATCTTCCACAATGTCCTTCCTGTCAATGACTACTTCAGCTTCAATCACAACAATATACGAGTAAATAATAGATACAAACTCAAGGTAAACCGTTCCAAACTCGATTGCAGAAAAGATGACTTCAGTAACAGAGTGGTCAATGCCTGGAATGCACTCTCTGACTCTGTGGTTTCTTCCCCCAAACCCCCAAAACTTTAACCTTAAACTGTCTATTGTTGACCTCACCCCATTCCTAAGAGGTCTGTAAGGGGTGTGCATAAGCGCACCAGCGTGCCTACCGTCCCTGTCCTAATATTCCTTTTTACTTACTCTTTTCATGTATTCAGATTATGTTTATACTTTTACCTGTTATATATGCTTTACAAAATAAACTTATGACTTATGACTTAAGTGTCATGACTGAGAAGTTGGACTTTGACTGTGGAGATTCAGCCTCAAAACCCCAGTTGACCACGGAGTTCCTTCAGTCATAAGTATATAAAAAGCAGTGATCCCTGGTTAATTTAGTCCAGCCATTACTTCTTACTTTGGCCAACCAACTGCGAAAGAAAGCCCACTTCTCTCTCAACGCAGACGCCCTTCAGAAACAGCTTCACTGCCATCAAGGCTAATAGGCATTGTCCTCAAGATTTCCATGAATTGGTCTCAACTCTGTTTTGAAACCAGCCGAGCTGATAGCCAAAATATTGGGCTACTCATTCTCTCAGAAGAAGGAAAGGAATGGAGAGGAGAGGAAATTCCACTAATGTTTTCCTCAGCAACAAAAAAGAAAGTTGGTCCCATAGATGTCCAAGTCTTAAGTCACGAAGGCCTTTATAGTGACAACCAACATTGTGGATTATACCTGGAGGTCCACTGGTAACCAGTGCAACATGCAAAAGAGAACTCTCACCTGTCTGAAATGAAATCTCTAATTGCATGACTACTTAGGCTGCTGGATTCTGGATCAACTGTAATTGTGAGTAATCTTCAACGATAGCCCCGTGTATGATGTTTGTTCTACCTTGGAAAGGAACACAGGGTTAAAGCTTCTTTTTACTTACATTGCTCCAAAAACCCCTATATACGGTTCTGTGGGCGTGGTGTGGCTTGATGGATATGGCAGGGAAAGGATATTGCAAAATCTCCATTCCCACCCCACCCCATTCTCCTGGGGGAAGGATATTGCAAAATCTCCATTCCCACCCCACTCCAGGGGAAGGATACTGCAAAATCTCCATTCCCACCCCATTCTGGGGACAGCCAGAGGTGGCATTTGCCGGTTCTCCGAACTACTCAAAATTTCCGCTACCAGTTCTCCAGAACCTGTCAAAACCTGCTGAATAGCACCCGTGACATACATACATACATACATACATGCATACATACATACATACATACATACATACACACACAATCTGTTCAGTCTTCTAATGAACTTCTCAACATAATGGAAAAAGTAAAAAAAAAATTATCCATTCAATTGCCTTTAAATTTTCAGGCAAAAAATTCAAAAGTCACTAATGTTTGCAGACAAAGGATGAAACATACTTTAGATTTAATTTCATGTGGATTGTTTTTTTTTTCCTCCATTTTACCAGAAGTTATGAACAGAGATAAAATTAGATAGATTTTCTGTCTGACGTTTCTTGCTTTTCCTTTGAGGTTATGAAGCCTTTAAACATTTGTTTGAGTAAAATTTATTTATTTTTTATTTATTGTAATTTGTCAAACAAAAATGAAAGCAGGAATAATATAAAAATACCATCACCAAATTCCATTTAAATGGAAAATGAAAAATAGTTGATTGCCTAGGATTAAAGTGGTAAATGGGGAAGGTATTTAAGATGAGAGGCAATGCAAGTGTTGCAATTGAGAAGTTCGACTTCCACGCTAGAGATTCAGTCTCAGAGCCCCAGCTGATCATAGAGCTCCTTCAGTCATAAGAACATAGAAACATAAGCAATGTCCCCTGGCCCATCTAGTCCAGCCATCTGTATTTTATTAACTTGGACCAAAATAGTCAAAATAGTAAAAAACTATTTTTCCTGTCTCTTTATTATCCCGTTTTGTTTATCTATTTCTCTGAGTAACAATATATCAGAGAGAACGAGGAGGCTGACACTCAGTGGAAGAAAAAAAGAGACTGCTTAGCAACATGTAATCTCTAGTCGAATTTGTTCCTCAAAGGTATGATGAACTCATAAAGTCTGTGGAAAACATTCTGAAGAAACCAACTCTAAATATTTTAAACTCTTGGAAGAAATATCCTTTTGGGTTCGGTTCCAAGTGGGGAAAAAGACACTGGAAACATGGAGACTGTTTGGAAAGATGGTTTAACGGTGGACAGGATCACATGGTTTGAGGTCCTGGGGGGAAAAGGGAAGAGATGCTGAGAGTCCCGCAGTTTTATGTCCTCTGTTGGGCTTTTCAATTTGAGCTTGTATTCTGATTGGTTGTCAGACTCTCATGGGGCCATGCAGGGGCAACTCTGTAGGCTGTGTTTTGAGTCCAAGTTTGGTTGAGTCTTGCTGGGTGATGATGTATTGAAAGGGCTTTCAGATTCCTATTATGGCTCTGTTTGACAGAGGTTGATCTTTCTTATGTAGAATAGACTGGCTCAGGCCTTAATGGCCCATTGACAAAGGGGGGAGAGGGCAGGGAGCTGCAGGGAGCTGCTTTGTCTTTAAAACGTGTTTCTCCTTTTCTCATCCAGGGAAATATAACATTCTGCTTTTTTAATATTTCCTAGAAGATCTCATTTTCCTAGGAGAGGGGTTCCTACAAAATTCACAAAAGAAATCTGTTTCCAAAGTAGCAGATGAGTTTGAAAACAATATGGACCCAGAAATAATAGAACACAGTGGAAAATCAAAGCCAAAAGGAGTGCCACTTTCCAGCAGAAAAGTGGCAGGGAAGAAAGATGGATCTAGAAATAACAGAGCTGACTTCATACACTTTTCTGAAACTTAATCCTATGTTTCCATGTCATAATAAAGAAACTTTGGATGAATAAATAGCAGGGGTGAAATCTACTTACCTTCCTTACCAGTTCGGAAGTGCATGCACCACCCTGGCACAACACATGCGTGCACAGACCCTCTGCACATGCGCAAAACCTTCCACACATGTGCAGACGGTAAAATGACACCCAGGTGGGTGGAGCCTCCCGCCACCATTGCTACCAATTCTCCGAACCACCTGCCACAATCGCTACCGGATGGCATGATCTGGTCCGAACTGGGAGCATTTCACCCCTGATAAATAGGTCTTTTTAAAGGGGTTTTAAGGAGAGTGGGGAATGAACCTGTTACATTTAAGTGAGGAACGATCCCACCTTACTTTTTCGGGTGGAGGGGGGAAGATTGGTTTTCGAGATTGGATTTACTGAATTTAATCAACCAACCAACAATTGATAAGAGATGGCATTAAGAAACAAACATGGATATTTGATCAGTGTCAATCTTTTGGGAGGATCTAGGTTGAAGCCATGGTAAATTTTCTACAAGTTGATTATAATAATAGTTTGTTAACAGAGGATTTTGGAATTTCAATCTTGTCTTTCTTTCATTATTATTAATAATTTTATTATTTTTTTATACTTTTAAATAATATTCTTATTTTTCCTGTTAACTATTTTCCTATTAATATAGAATATAAACTAATTTGTAAATAGATTTACTAGTTGAATAGTTGTTTTTTTCTATTAACTATTTTATTATTGATATAGCTTATAGGTGACCGGCTAACAATTTGTAAACAGATTTAATAGTTGAGTAGTTTAAAATTCTTTTGGCCTGTTTTGTAAGGGGTGGGAAATAATATTGTCATATTATATTAATCGATACTAACTAAGGAGGATGTTATGTAAATAGTTTTTTTTCCCCTAAAACTTTTTCTTTTTAATGTCTTGTTTGTCATGTTTTTTCTTACTTCATTTGTTTTTTATATTTTTATGTTTTGTATTTTAACTTTCCTTCAATAAACTGAATATTATTGCAAAAAACAAAACAAAACAAAGTTAAAATAATACAGACTAAGAAAGGAGAAAAATATATTTTATACCTGTCAATAGTGACTGGTTCACCAATTAAATCTCTAATATAAGCAATACAAGATATTATAGGTAGTCCTTGATTTAGGACCACATTTGACCCTAGAATTGCAGTCATTAGTCATTGTTATAATTAAATGAGGTGCTCGTGATTCCTTGTTCAACAACAAGAATCCTAACACTTCCAGTTGCAGTTGTTAAATGATCATTCGAGTCATTAAATGGATGGAGTCTCAAGTAGGAATCATTCATCCCACCCATCTCATTTCCATCTCTGTTCTTGCACAGTGGCACCAATGGTGGCAGTTCTAGGTGCTATTACCACCCAGCTGACCTTCAGCATCAAGGGCTGAAATTCCAAGCTAGCAATTCTTTCTCCCTGCAGGCAGACATCCCAAAACAAAACAATTCATGATGCAGGTGTGGGGCATACATATAAAATGGTGCAGTGCAGGAAATCAAGAACAATGCAACAAGTTGATCAGAAAAGTTACTTTATTGTTGTTCTAGACAGGAATCTTGCCAGACTAAAGCACACTTTAGATAACAATCAGACAAATCCTGTGAAGATTTTAGGGACGATCCCTTCTAGACTTCTTCCTGCATATCAAAGACTCAAGGCTGATTTGCCTTTCGGCTCCTTGAGAAAGTGGCCTTCCCTTCTGAAATCATATCCCCAATTCCATAACACAAATCAAATTAAATATTTATTTTGGTTATATACTAGATAAGAAGGGTAGAATGCAAACAAAAGCTGAAAAAATTATTATGTCTGAAATTTTTCAGAATCAAAAATGGCACATTTTATTCCAAGAAACTGTATTGTGTACAGCACATTTTCCCCTTCTCCTTCATCTCCATTATATGTATATAAATTTCCATGTCACAAAGAAAAATGCATAAAATGAATTACACATTTTAAACATTTCATTCAGTAAGACCTATTCTTAACACTAACTGCGCTTCTTTGTAAATAAGAGCAGATCTTATATTAATTTTTGCTCCTAAAGATGCATTAGGGCTTATTTTCCAATTAGGTCTTATTTGGGGGGAAATATGGTACTAAATGCGACCCTCTGGCTGATAATCTTAACTGGGGTTTATTTTGGGGGGTAGAGCTTATATTACGAGCATCCTGAAAAGTCATGCTTGTTTTCCAGTTGGGTTTTATTTTGGGGGAAACAGGATGCTAATTATGAGAAAGGAACTATATCAGCTAAAACATTTCCTCTTGAACAAGTTCTTCAGATAAAAAATGAGGACACAGCAAAAACTTCCTGTTTACATAGTTCTTGTTTTTAAGTACTTTGCTTAGTAAATTGTATCACATCTGTAGGTTCTTAAGGAAAGCACATGTGATATCCCAAATAAACTTGTACCTCAAAATATTGCATATGCAATATTTATGACTCTTCACAACTGATCTTCCGTGCTTCCCTTCTCATCCTTGAAGACTCTTTGCAGAGCAAACTTGTAAGAGGTTCTGGGCTGATCTTTTCCTCTCTTCTTCCTCCCCACTAAGAAATAAAGGAGTGGGTTGATGCTGCTGTTGAGAGTGGCACATCCTACCCCAATGGTCAGGAGGAGGGGATTATAGGAAACAAAATATTCAAGGACATAAAAGACATCCATTGGGAGAGAAAACAGGAGGAAGAAAAGGAGAGCCAGAAAAATGGTAGTGAGAAGTTTCTTTTGATTGCGTTGCATTTTAGACCTCATATGAATCAAGAGAGTCACAGTGGACACAGCCATGAGAGGTGTACAAAGTAAACCATTCACAATCAGCTGGTAAAACAAAGGTGATCTTCCATAGGTTCTGGTCTGGTGGAGAATGAAATGCACCGCAGAGAGCAGGAAGGAGAGGATCCAGATGAGGCCACAAACAAGTGTGGATAAATATGGCGGACGATGGCAGCGATGCCAGAGAGGGAAAAGAACAGCCACACACCTGTCCAGGCTGATGGCCGTCAGCAGAAACTGGCTGGCAGAATAGGTAAAGAAAAAGAATTCAAAAAGTAAGAAGAAAAGGGCATTGAGAAGGTGTGCTCTGTGACTCAGAGTAAACACTGACACAAATATAGCTGCAGTAATGAGGGATGTGATGACCCCAAAATCAGCGATGGAGAGATTCAGGATGAAAGTGGTGAAAGGATTCCTCTTAATGGAAAAAGCCAGGAAATAAATTGTCGTTCCATTTCCCACCAGGCCTAAAATGCAAATAAGGGCAATGACGCCAGTGAGAAGATTCCGTGTTAAATTATCGAACAGTTGATCATACGGAGAAGAAAAAATTTCTGGTATTTTAGAAACATTTGGAGCAATTCCAGTAGTATTGAAAGGGAAGTCAACCAGTTTAGAACCACTTTCAGGACTTGAAGGAATTTTAACTCTGTTCTGTATCCTAATAACACAAGGAAACAAAAAGAGAATCAGTCATTGTTAGTGAAATAAATACATACTGTAGGAAGCTCTTCCCAGGTTAAAATATTCTTTGTTCTTAATGTTAAAAAGAGGCAGAATATGTTGTATCATAATATACTTACTCGTGTATTTCATCTACCACAGCAGGGAAAGAGCCTATATAATATTCTGATTCATTACCTAAAGAAACAATTATAGTAAGTCATTATCTTGATCAATAACAGCAGGCAGCAAAAATGCTAATGTGTTTTAGAAACTTCATCCACACAGATTTGTCTCTTACTGAATGAGAGTCTGTGAATGTATAAATAAAATATTCTCTAGTAGGTTTTATTTTCCTCTCATTGCCCAGATGATCATTAGCCAATATTCAGTCCTTGTGATCCTCTAAGCTGCCCCAGAATTATTTCACCTGATAATTAATTCAAAATATTTTTTAAAATGTTCATTTTGAATAGGAAACCATTTTCCCCACCCTTGTTTTTCCTTCATTTTCAGAAATGCTTTTAGCCTCTAATTATTATTTTTTTCTAATTAAAGAAGAACAAAGAGGTTGACTCCATCCTTGTGTCCTTCCAAAGGACAATTCTGGAAGGATGTGGTCTGCAGGAAGCAACACGTGTCAGTGTGTTGATTTTCTTAAACTCCCTTATTTTATGAAAAATACCATCCTAAACCTAAAGAATGCACTCACTGGATGTTTTACATATTAATAGATTAACAGAGTTGGAAGGGACCTTGTAGATCATTTAGTCCAACCCCACCACTCAAGCAGAACCATTTCTAACAAATGGCAGTCCAATCTCCTCTTGAAAGCTTCCAGTGATAAAACGCCAATGCAATCCCCAACCTCAGGAGAGAATGGACAACAGGAACTTTTATTCGGTGATAGAGTTTCAACTTTGGAATAAGCTCACAAAGCATGATGAACCCTTCAGGTTTTCCTTAAGAGTAGTACCCCCAAAGGAAAGGAAAGTTTATATATAATATAGTTTTCATGATATGCCTACCTCGTGAGTAATTAAATAGCTGCTCCATTGTGCAAAAAGTGTTGTTTCCTTGCTTAGAAGAGTTCACTTCCGTGGATAAGGTGAACCACCTGGGACACTGTAATTTAAAGGGAAATAAAATTATTAAAATTAAACTTGACTGTTCTTCTGATTGTCCAAATGGCTGAAAGAAATTGTATTCTTGGAGAATTCCAAGTCATTATTGATTTGCCGTCCACACATGAAGCAATAAAATGTATTTACAGTCCAAGATCAAATGCAATCAAAATACATTACAATAACCCTAAGAAAGACATTTTTAAAAATGAGGAAAAATCTTCAAAAAATGGGCAGTTTTTTAGTTAATAACAATTAATAACATGGGAAAAGAATTTGTAAAACGGAACCCGCATTGCATATCGGACATTAATACAATTGAGCATGTCCACAAATATTTCACAAGAAGAGTCCTCCAGTCTTCTGCTCGGAACAAAATACCTTATGCCACCAGACTTGAAATTCTGGGTTTGGAAAATTTAGAACTATGCCGCCTTCGGTATGACCAAAGCGTAGCTTATAAAATCATCTGCTACAATGTCCTACACAACAATACACGAGCACACAATAGATACAAACTTAAAGTGAACCGCTCCAAACTCGATTGCAGAAAATATGACTTCAGTAACAGAGTTGTTAATGCCTGGAATGCACTACCAGACTCTGTGGTCTCATCCCAAAACCGCCTAAACTTTAACCTAATACTGTCTACTGTTGACCTCACCCCATTCCTAAGAGGTCTGTAAGGGGTGTGCATAAGAGCACCAGCGTGCCTACCGTCCCTGTCCTAATGTTCCCTTTAATTGTATTCATTTTATGTATTCAATTCATGCTTATACTTATATATATTATCTAATATGTACTCGAGAAAATAAAATAATAAATAAATAAAAACATATTAAGGTTTATTGGAGACAGAGCTGAGAAGACTGGTGTCAGTTCTTCTTCTTCAGTTCTCAGTTAAAGTGAGTTTGATCAGACAATCCTGTGGAATTAGCTGATAACATCCCAATGTTCCCTAAGTTTTAGTCTGAACCCAAAATGGGATATTTTGGAAATAACAAATTACTACAGCACAAGTTCTGCCTTCATTAAAGCCATACCTGGTAATGATAGGAAGAATTTCCAGAATCTAAGGACGAGATCTTTTTCAGTGAATCCTGTTGGCCTTCACTTGATGCAAGTACAATCAAAAAGGAGAACTGAGCTGGACCAAACTGCAAACTTTCTCAGAAAACGTGTGTGATATTCTTCTCCGAATTCTGCGTGTTGAAATGTTATCACACACAATATGCAAAAGAAGTGGCTAAAGATGCAATCATATTTTGAAAGAAGGAACAAGAAAAAGGCACTTCTTAGAGAAGCAGCCTATTCTGGATGTCAAATTCTTTTTCCCACCCTTCTTTTTCTTTGATTTTCAGAAATGCTTTTGGGCTTCTAATCATTTTTGTTCCTAATTAAAGAAGAACAAAAAGGTTGACTCCATCCCTTGTGTCCTTCCAAAGGACAATTCTGGGAGGATGTGGCCTGCAGGAAGCGACAGCTGTCAGTAATACTTAGTTTATGAATAATTCTATCAGAAGCCATTCTGTGAATGTGCCCACTGAATGTTTTAAAGATTAATAGTTTAAAAGAGTTGGAAGGAACCTTGTAGATCATCTAGTCCAACCCCTCAACCACACACACACAAGCAAACAAATGACAATCCAATTCTGACAAATGGCAGTCCAATCTCTCCTTGAAGGTTTCCAGTGATAACATGCCAATGCAATCCCCAACCTCAGGAGAGAAGGGAACTCATGATCCAGTGATAGAGTTTCAATTTTGGAATAAGCATGAGGAACCCTTGAGGTTTTCATTAAGAGTAGTACCCACAAAGGAAAGGAAATTTTATATATAATATAATTTTCATGCTGTTCTTACCTTCTGAGTAATTAAATTGCTGCTCCATTATGCAAAAGAGTTCAAATCTGTGGATGAGGTGGACCACCTGGGACGCTGTAGTTTAAGAGGAAATACAATTATTAAAAGAAAACTTGACTGTTCTGATTGTCAAAATGGCTGAAAGAAATTGTGTTCTTGGAAAATTCCAAGTCATTATTGATTTGCTGTTCATATAAAATAGGTGTAGCCTCTCCTACCTTTCAATCAAGCCATAAAATTCAGTTACAGTTCAATACTAAAGGAATCAAAAGACCAGGAGTACAATTCCATAACCATAAAAAGGGAATTTTTTAAAAATAAGAACAAATGTTCGTAAAGATAGCAGCTAACAATTAATAGCAAGAGATTAGGAAAAAATAGCAATAGCGATAACACTTAGACATACATACTGCCTCATAATGTTTTAAAACCTTCTCTAGGTGGTTTACAGAGTCAGCATATTCTCCCCAATAATCTGGGTCCTCATTTTACCAACCTTGGAAGTATGAAAGGCTGAGTCAACCTTGAGCCGGTCAGGATCGAACTGCTGGCAGTGGACAGAGTTAGCCTGTAATACTGCATTCTATTCCCTGCACCACCATGACTCTTCAGCATATATTAAGATTTACCAAAGCCAGGGATGAGAAGAGAGGTATACCATTGTGGGAAAAAAAATGCTGCTCAATTGAGTTCCATTATGGGCCAGAGGAGCCTGTTGGATTAGCTGATCCCATACTAATTTAGTATCTGCAAAATGGTCCTTTTTGAGACCAGGGCAGGACTAGGAGCCCATACTGATGAGTCCTATCCTGGTCTCCAAAAGAAACATCATGCAGATAATTAATGACCTCAACAGAAACTCTGCTTTTACCGCAGACATAGCTGGGGATGATAGGAAGAATCTCCAGATGGAACCAGCTGGTCTCGTTTGGACTCTAAGGATGAGATCTTTTCCTGATTAATCCGATGAATCCCGTTAGCCATCACTTGATGCAGCTACAGTCAGAAAGAGGAATTAAGCTGGACCAAGCTGCCAACTTTCTCCGAAGAATAAAAAGAAGGGGTGTGACAATCCTTTCCCTTTGCCCGCAGACTTCCCTAGAGAAAATAATTCATGATGCAGCTTCTGGGCATAACTGGCAAGTGAAGGAAACAAGAACAATACAACAATTTGTTTAGAAGAGCTTCTTTATTGCTGTTGGCGTAGAGACAGGAATCTTGCCAGACTAAAGCACACTCTGAATCTCTATCAGATAAATCCTATGCAGCTTTTAGAGAGAATCCCTTCTCAGCCTCTTTCTGCACACCAATGGCTCAAGGCTGATTTGCCTTTTAGCTCCTTGAGAAAGAGACCTTCCCTCCTGAAAACAGGTGTCCAATTTCGTAACACAAATCAAATTAAATATTTATTTTGGTCATAGACCAGAATAAAAAGGCTAGAATGCAAACAAAACAATGAACAATGATAAAATACATCAAGTGCAAAAATAATTTGAAAAGCTAATATCTATATCTAACTACAGTATCTACAGCTACATCTATATGTCTGTCTCTGTATCTCTACCTCTATCATCTCTATCTCTATCACTATCTTTATCTCTATATCATCTACAACTAGCTCCATGAAGCTCCTTGCCAAACAATTAAGGGATTAACTCTTAATTGAAAAGAACTGGCTGCAGAGTGATTTAAGAGTCAGTACTGACACCTGTTTCTCCAACATCCCTGTGTATCCCGCTCATTAACCTGGAAATTTTGACTTTTGCACTGGTTGACAAACCTGGATTGCCTCTTCCAACTGGATTTTGAATTGTCTACGTGTTCCTCTTGAAAATGAAACTACCCAGATAAGCTTTCTTTCCAATACATTTTGTTGCTTTACATTCCTTTCTTCATTTAGAGGGGTGGAGACTAGGTGGGGTTATGATACTCACTCTCTGTCTCTCTCTCTCTGTGTGTGTGTGTCTCTCTCTCTCTCTCTCTTTGTGTGTGTGTGTGTGTACGCGAGCGTGAACCCATGTTCTTGGGAAGTACAGTTTCCTCACCTCTAATCTACAATGGAAGGGAGACTAAACACTTGAATTTGGCCAAGTGTGATTGGACACACAAGGAATTTGTCTTTGGTGCATATGCTCTCAGTGTACATAAGGGGAATAAAATACATTCATCAAGAATAAAAAAGATACAACACTTAGTGATAGTCAAGGTTACTAATAAGCTATCAAATCGTACTAGGAGACAAATAAAAACAATATAAATTGAAAGATACAAGCAACATGGTTATAGTAATTAGTGGAAAGAAATAGATACTAGTGAGGATGAGAAGAAGAATCTAATACGGTCTTAGTAGTTAATTCGACAATGTTGTGGGAATGAGTTGTTAAGCAGAGTGATGGCATTCAGAGAAAAAAACTGTCCTTGTGTCTTGTTGTTCTGGTGTGCGGTGCCCTAAAGCGTCGTTTTTGAGGGTAGGAGTTGAAACAATTTATGTCCAGAGTGTGAGAAACCTGGATTGGCTCTTCAGACTGGATTTTGAATTGTTTCTTCTGTGTTCCTGGTGAAAATGAAACTACCCAAGCAAACTTTTTTTTCCAAACATTTTGTTGATTTACATTCCTTTCTTTATTTAGATGAGTGGAGACTGGGTAGGATTATGATAGTTTCTCTCTCTCTCTTCCTCTCTCTCTCTGTCTGTCTGTCTCTCTGCCTCTCTCTGTGTCTCTCTCTCTTTCTCTCTTCCTCTCTCTCTCTCTCTCCCCCCTCTCTCTGTCTCTGTCTCTCTCTGTCTTTCTCTCTGTCTGTCTCTCCCTCTCTGTCTGCCTCTCTCTGTGTGTGTCTGTCTGTCTGTCTGTCTCTCTCTGTCTCTCTCTCTCCCCCTCTCTCTGTCTCTCTGTCTCTCTCTCCCCCACTCTCTCTGTCTCTCTGTCTCTCTGCCTCTCTCTCTGTCTCTCTGTCTCTCTCTCTCCCCCCTCTCTGTCTCTCTGTCTCTCTGTCTCTGTCTCTCCCTCTCTCTCTGCCTCTCTCTCTCTGTCTCTCTGTCTCTCTGCCTCTCTCTCTCTTTCCCCCTCTCTCTCTCTCTGTCTCTGTCTCTCTCTCCCTCTCTGTCTGCCTCTCTCTCTCTCTCTGTCTCTCTGCCTCTCTGTCTCTCTCTGCCTCTCTCTCTCTCTCCCCCTCTCTCTGTCTCTCTGTCTCTCTGTCTCTCTGTCTGTCTCTCTCTCTCTCTCTCTCTCTCTCTCCCTCCCTCCCTCCCTCCCTCCCTCTCCCTCTCCCCCTCTCCCTCTCCCTGTGTGTGTGTGTGTTCTTGGCAAGTACAGATCCCTCACCTCTAATCCACAATGGAATGGAAAGGAGACCGAACAGCTCTTTTATTCAATGGCAAGAATAAACTTTGCGATCCGCATCTTCATTTAAGTTTTATTTTCTTTCTTTCTTTTTCTTTTTTCTTTTCTCCTGCAGGGGGCATCGCAGGTTTTTTTTTTTTTTTTTTTTTTTTTTTAAACCGATGAATAATGACGACTTACCGCGGCAGGTTCTCCGGCCGGGCGGAGTCAAAACCCTTCCTTTCCCATCTTAACGGGATGCGAAACCTTGCGGGCAGGAGAGAAAGCGGGTGCGGTCCCGGTAGGCGTGCAAATGACGCAGTCGTGCAAGCTGAGACGATTGCCTGGTGGCCAGAAGGAGGCTGGGCTGATTTGGCTGCCCTTATAAAGCAGCTCCAGTTCCTCCCTTTGTCACTTTCGGAGCGGATTTTTCTCGGCTGCATTTTAGAGCGACCGTCTCGAGAGGAGCAAGGAAATCTGGACAGCCGCGTTGGGAAGATGCTTGGGAAGCGGCGCTTTCGGCTTGGCCAAACCGGTCAACCCAACCGGAGGAGGCTTGGAAGAGCCCATCGCCGCCCTTCTCGGACGAGAGATTTGGAGAGTTTGGCGCCGGATCCCCAGCTAACCGGATTGAAGCCAGAGATATCCAAAGTGGAGAGAAATATATATATATATACTATATATATACTATAGTATATATATATATATTTGTGGATTATTAACAGCAACAGCGGTTTATGTCCATGGAGATTCTCAGTTCATGTGGTTGTCCCCAAAATGCTTTTTCAAGAGGCAATTGGACTTTTTAAAGAGGTAACTGGACTTTTTTTTTGGGGGGGGGGTTCTTTGCAAAAAAAAAAAGCACCTTTGGGAGCATCGA